ACACGTGTATATATATATATATATATATATATAATTAAGCCTGTTTTTTTTATTTATAAGATTTTCACTTTCATTTCATTGCATTCAAATTCTTGTTATTATACTTGGAAAAAAGTTGATATATAATATACATTTCATTTTAAAGAAATTTTATCAGTGGCATTTGTTGTACTGAATTTAATTCATGCTGACTTTGATTTATTGTCATTAAATAAACATCATTATAATATCATTAAATCACTGTATTTTAAAGGTCCCATATTGTCAAAACTGAAATTTCCTGGCTTTTTTCATGATAACTGAGGTCTAAGGGCTATGCAACTACCATAAGTTTCGAAACAGTCAATCCACAGACAAATGCACATAGCCTGCATAAAGTAGCTGTGCCTTTTCACGAGCCGTTGTGACTTCCGTAAAAAGGTGACATCAGAACTACAGTCACCGCCTTCAGTCACCACCCCGAGCACTGCCCACAGTCCCACTCTCCTTTTGTCAGCCTTCAGTCACCACCCCGAGCACTGCCCACAGTCCCACTCTCCTTTTGTCAAACCCCCAAACAACATCGCGTCCATGCCATTGCCGAGCAAAAACAACACGGAAACATGTCAAGAAAACGCTGTTCAGTCATGGATGTCAGGAAACTACATCATTGTACAGGCTTCCAAACTAGGGAAGTATGCCTGGCATTGAAACTGCTTTTGAATGCAAGATTGCTTTTTAGTTTCACTTTCACTTTCGAGATTCGCGATCACACGTACTCCGTTTATACTATGGAGCAGCAGTACTTACTACACATTTTACAAAATTAAATGTTTGTCAGTGGTACTGAGGATATGCAAATCATTCGCCATCATCCTCAGTCATCTCTCCTTACTCTGTTTATGTGGTAAGTGAAATTTTATGTACTGTAATATAACAGGCATTATGTAATGTCTGCAACCCGTAAATTTCTCACACATTTTATGTTACATTATGGAGCCAGCATAATCTGAAATTATAGTTTGTAAACAGTTATGCAATGCTAACGTGATGCTAACGTGTTGCTAACTTGATGCTGACCTGTTGTATCCGTAGGAAAGCAATAGTTCCCTTTCGATACTTCACTCGTACTGCGTCTTGCTAGACGCATATGGGAAAAAAGCCTTTTTTCTCCTGAACTGAAGCCTATTTTATTCACGAAGTGAAACTGCACGGCCATTGGTTCGTGCAGAGCTTAAAAAACAAACCAATGGCTCGGCAGCGGAGCTGCACGA